CAGTAGCAACAATAATTTACTAATTATTTTGTTTAGTAATTAATAAAGGTTCTACTAAGTTAATTTTAATTAATTTGAAGACTTGTCTTATTTGAATAGAATAAAGAAATTTAGTTCATTTGCTTTTTAGTTTTTTTTGGTACTCTTTATATGTTTTAATATATTTTTGTACATCTTGATATATTTGGTTTTAATAATATTATTTAGTTATTTTATAGTATATAACATCTGTTTTTAAATGTTTTTTTTAATATTAAAGTCTCTGTCTTTAGGAATCAATGTTTTTATTCAAGTATTTAAATACAGATGCCTCCAGAGGCTTCTATATATAGGAGGTTACAACTAGTCACATGTGCACTTTTGGTGTCTAATTTAAGTAGTCTGCCTATATATTACTATATAAATAACTAAAATTAGTCTTTATTATAAGAATTTATATATAAAACTAATTAATATAATAGTATTACAAAATATAAAAGACTTTATAAAAACAAATATAAACCTTCTGTCAAGATAAATCTAGATACAACTTATTAGCAAAAATTTAATAAATATATTAATTAAGCAAAAACAAATTTATTATTAATAAATATAACTTGGTTAATATTAGTATAAATGTAATAATAATGCATTTAAATTTGTATAATTTTAATTATTAGAAAATTATTTAAAATTATTTTATAAAAACTAACATCTGTTTATGCATTAATATTTGAAACAGAAATTTTTAAATAATTAAATAAATATTAAATTATAATTAATAAATATGAAATAAATACTATATTTAATACTAACAATATGATGTTTAAATTATATGTTCTATATACTAAAATAACTAACAATAAGGTTTTATTTATATTTGTTTCTTAAAAATTATAAGTAATATAAAAATAAAGTACAAATAACAAAATTATAAAAATTTCTTGTAAATTTTATAATAAAAGATTATAATCAAAGTTTTTTTAATTATTAGTAAAAATTTGTTTTTTGTAAATAAATTCTTTTTTATTTGTTATTGAACTAATATATAATAAATACAAGAAATATATTTTTTTATTTGATTAATATTTTAACTTGGTTTATTTTTTTTTTTTTTGATGTTAAAGTGACCTCTTGAGTCTTTTAACTTTATTTAATAATGGTAAATATGGTTTAGTAAATAATTACAAAAAGAGTATACAATTAATTATATATATAACTTTTTTATATTATCTATTTAAGAAGTCTATCCAAAGATTTTTTACCAATTTTTGTACCTAACACTTCTGCTTAGGTATTTCACTTTAAACTTTCTAAACCTGCAAACTTATTAATTTTATTAGTCAAACCTGATACTCAGATCATTATCTCAACCTTAAAACTATTTTATCTTTGAGGTAAACTCTCTAAAACCTTTTATATTCATTTTTATAACTAATTTAGATATTGCTATAACAGAACTAATACTTGCAATCAGGACTTAACTATTAAACTGCTATGCCCTTATAGAGTTTACTTAGAACCTAGCATCTATTTTATAATATAATCTCAGTATTTTAGTATACTTCTGTCTTTTTATCTGTCTTTTTACCAAACTTTTAATCCAGATAGTCTATGTAGAACTATAACTAATTTATTAGTATATCAGGTTAATCTGATATTCTTTTCTTTTAGTTTATTCTAACAGCCTGATTGATAATATTTCTAAAACTTTTAACTTAAAGGTTTTTGTCTGTTTAATTATTATAATCAAATAATATAATCTTGATATTTGTTTTATTAAGCTAATCTTTATAATAGGACTGTTAAAGATCCAGCTATCTCTCTACATGAATCTTTCAAATAGACTTTTTGTTATCTAATTTTAATAGATTTACATGGTCACAAGAACTTATCTAGTGTTTGTACTATCTGATTTGATGATTTGTATTCATTTGTATAACTCTAATATTGCACAGATACTCATGATCTGCCAATCATACTGGTGTAATCATCATTACAGATATTCTAACCTAATTATTAGTAACAGTTGCTATAATACAAATATTATATAGATAATTATTTAAATTTTCACTATTGATAAGATTTGAATACCTAATCTTCTATTTGAAAGATTTACAACCTGACTACTTTACTAGATTGCCATATTCTATCTTGTTTTATTTTTTTTGTTAAACTTTATATATATTAGGTATTAGTAATATTAAAAATAAATGTTAGAATGTAGTAACTTAGTGAAGTAGATAAGTTGTTATACCCTCAAGTGGTAGATTGTAAGTTCAAAACCCACTGATGATGAAATTTGAATAATCACTTATGTAATATATAAATAGTATTATAGCAATAGCATTCTGTCAATTAATTAAGATAGGATACCTGTAACTATAGTTGCACCAGCATGACTGGCAGGTTTGGGGCATCTGTATAACCTGTTACACAGAGAAATGCAACTGGTATCACATAATACAAACCTAAAATAAGTCTTTGGGCTATATAAATCTATAGAATTAGGAAGCTAAAATCCACTTGAAAATTCTGAGCAGAGAGATAATACAGATCTTTGACAGTACTATTGTAAAGACAAAATCTAGAAAATGAATACTAATATGAAAGATTCAGACAGGTAAGAACCTCAGATAAGTAATACTACCAACCAGGCTACCAGATTTTGGACCAGAAGAAAAGGATATTAAGCCAGCCTCAATATATCAAGGACAGGTCATAATCCTTCTAGGCTATCTGGATTGGAAGTTTAAATTCAAAATAGAGGTATACTAAAAGTATTAAGAATATGATGTGAAGTCAGTACTGAGATCTGGGTGAACTCTGTAAGAGTATTTCATGTTAGTATTCTAAAAGTAAGTAAATAGTTAACAATAAGGGGCTCCTTGTGTCTTATTGGCAGATGATATATTCTGAAATATATAACGATCTGAAAACCAGTACAAAAAAAGTAAGTAACCATACTGCTCAGACAGTATACTAGTTAGATATATATAGGAAGTAAGTTGAAGATTCCAATATAACAGAGCAGATGATCAGAAAGTTTAAATAGATAATCTTCTAGTAGGTTATAGGTACAATAACTAATGTAAAACCTTAGAGTGAACTACTTAAATAGGCAATCAAAAGTTGCATATGTAACTAGCTGTATTCTTATCTCTGTAAAAATAGTTATAATAGCTAGCCCAATATAAAGTTAATAAAGTATTACTACAAGTATGACCTTTAACAAAAAATAAAAATAAAAATAAAAATAAATGTTATACCAATTATATTATACAAATTACAATTACTCATATATTTAAAATTTTTTGTTAGTTGTGTTGAGAAAGTTTATTATTCCTCACAATAAATAATAAACAAATTTGAATAAATCTTAAACTTCTAAAAAATAATTGCTAATTATAAAAAATTAAATTAAACAAATAATTCTAAAATTTTATAAATATATTATTTATAGTTATAAGAATATACTTGATTTATTTAAACAATAATTATTAATAAAATTTTAAACTATGAATTGGGCAAAACACTTCAAATTGCTTAAAATAAACAAACCTAAAAAATCTGATCAAATTCTTAACTTAAAAATTTTATTAATAATTATTGCTTAAATAAATCAAGTATATTCTTATAATTATAGATAATCTAATATATTAAAATCTTATATGTCCCTATACATAATTACTAACACTCAAATCTAGATGAACCTTGGTCACTCTAGTTGGTTTAGGTTACAGATAAATTAGTCTGAGCTTCTATTCTTTCTATAATATTTTAAAAACAGAATTGTACTTTATGTAAAATCTCAATTAAATATTCAATAAAGATAGAAGCATGGCCTCACCATTAACATTAAAAAAAAAAAAAAATCTTATGTGTCACATTTAGTTTACTCTGTATAAATAATTTAAATACTCTTCCAGATCAATCTGAATAACGAAAATTACACAGCAACATACTCCTGTACTCAGATCAGTGAAGATTATGTAACATAATTTTAAATTTGTGCCGACGCAGGTTTCTTGAACTACAAACCAGATTTTACGATCAAGAAAATTCAAAACAAACATCTGTTTTGTCAAGAGTCGCTTTACAGCAGAGACCGTTAATGTTACACATACATTAAAACTGATAAGGTATTATATCCATCACAATTGAATTCAGTATAAATAATTTAATTTATGATTGATCACAGGCGAGAGGGGATCAGGCACTGTCTGCTGTTGAGTCGCTTACTTCTCAAAAATCATCACAAGAAATCACCTTTAATACTCTAATAAAAGTTTTCGTTGGACAATTTTACTATATAAACTACTCTCCTCTGACCCGTTAAATATAGTAATTAGGTCTAAACGTAGTGTAGTTGTTAGTAGTTAGATTCAAAATATATGATATACTTTTACAATATAGCCTGCCCTAATTCTAACTCAGACGTCATCTGACATCTGAGGCACAACATATAAAATGTATAACAATAGCCCGTCAGCGTAAGCGACGGGGTACATACTAGTATATTTGTAAAATTTTAGAATTATTTGTTTGATTTGATTTTTTATAACTAGCAATTATTTTTTAGGGTTTGGGATTTGTCCACCATGTATAGATCTGTGTAACAAATTGTGTAAAATGCCGGATATTTCCGTTTGCGTAAGACATTTCCGACTCGATTTTTCCAGGGACAGAAAATTTCCGTCATTTATATAACTGGCCGGTTAGGAAAAACACTTCCGGAAAAAAATCATATTACGTCACCCGGAAAATTTGTGCACCACTGATGGTAGCCTTGTAACTTTTTTTTTAAATCCAGATTAGCGGGTTTGAACATTAGTTAAATTAGTAAGAAAAACAAGTGTGTTTATTTTCACAATACAATAGTAATGTGTTAAATTTTATGTTTTCTGTGTAATAGTAAAAGATTTTGAGGTTACATATTCAACCGTTTTGACCCGAGTTGTAAAAAATCTTTGACCGGTTGAACCGTTTTGACACGGGCGACCCAGTTTACTATAATCTACTCATGTTTTATAGTATACATTTCCGAATCGATGCTCTTTTATGTATTCTCCTCCACATTCGTTGTATTCTTCTACCGTAACAGAATAATTCTGAAATTCAGATGATCGAGCCCAAAGAGCTGCACCATGCCATGCGTCAAGTACTGGGTCTTTTGCGTGAATGATTTGGAGTGGTGATCCAGCTGGTAAAATTGACCGAAGAGAAATTTCTAACCGCTTTAAAAGACCCGGAGTTTGCGTGTGCCCACCAGTTACAAATACAGACTATCATAATAATGCATTTCACTTGAACGGATGAAAATAAATAAGAAATATAAATTCATTATAAAAATTTAATTACCCGAATCATCTTTTTTCTTGCATCTACATCCTCAAACCGGCTTATTATTTCTCCAATGGTTTCTACTATTCCAGCCTGATCCAACCCAAGTATACTAGGTTGAAATAAGGCTTCTGGAACTCTTATTCTTTCAATGTTTACATGTAATTGATGCATTTGCGCAAAATTCTCTGGATCAAATGGAGGTGTGACTCCTCGAGTAAACATGAAAATGAGGGAATTCTTAATAGAGTTCTTTGCATCAAATGTATGCTCTGGCAGAAATGTAGAATCATATTGAAGAAGTTTTGTTTCATATTCTCTTAATAAGGTTAATTCTTCTTCTTCTTCCCATGCGTCTTCTTCTCTACTCTACAAGCGATTAATATGCATTGAATAATAAATGACACATAATACACGTAACTTACGCTTAACTTACTATTTCTTTATAAATAGACCAATCATTATCATCCATCCCAAATGTGTCCTCTATTTGGTAAAAGAAAACAAAATTACTCAAAAGATTAATTCAAATCGTTCGGATAATGTACATGGTAATTACCATCTTGACCTCTTCTACGTCTCTTTTGCTGTGGAGTATCACTAGCCAAATTAGCGATTGATTTCATGCGCAACTGGGAAGCATGACTCCTCCGATCAGATAGCTGTTCTTTTTTTCGTTTGAGACTTTTTACTTTATCAAGTTGATTCTGAAGGACGGTCAATTAAAACATATTCAAATTTCATAATTGACTCTTGAGAAAAATAATAAAAATTAGATACCTCATAATTCTGCTTAAGTTCATTTAACCAGCCTTCAAAATCCGTTTGTCGTCTTTGCTCTTCCATTCTTTTTTCTTCTTCCTGACAGAAACAGAACACATGTAAGGGTTTTCTTATAAAACATGAAAATAATTTATATAAATCAGATTATGGTAGAGAATTTACTTGCTGTCGTCTAGCTAGTTCTTTTGCTTCTCGTTGTCTTTGACGTGTTTCATGAAGACTCTTGGAAGCAATTTGCTTTTTTTTCTCCTTTCTCTCAGCTTCATTTAACTGATCGTCCGGTATATCTACTAGTGGAAATGTAGGTTCTTCCTGAATTCAATGTTAAATTAAAATTAAAATTAAAATTATACCATTACAATACAATAATTAATAACATTATATCCTATTTTATTAAATACCTTTATTTCAACTTCTTCAATTCCTAATAATTTATTCCTTGCTCGTTGTACCGCCTTTTCAGTTTTTTGAATGACCTCATCCAATTCTGCTTCATCATTAATTCTGTTTTCTTTAAGTTTTGCCTATTTAGCATGAAAATTGACCATCACTATCTACAACTTATGATTACTTTATTTTTTATAATTACTAAAATACATACAATAAATTCTGCTTTTTTCATTGAGGACTTGCTTGTTTTGATTTCCATGTAAAATTCCAAAGTGCTTTCTAGATCTTTTAACTTATTAATAATATGGAATATGCTTCCGTTATTTCTTTGAAGGTCAACTCAATTAACGTAAAATCTTTGATAAAGGTTTACCTTTTGATGTCTTAATCTCGCGGCCTGTTCTTTTAAACGACGCGCTTGTTCTTGCCTTCTTTCTTCTGCTCTGGCTAATTCCTCTTCACTCTTTTCATTAGCCTTTTAAAAAAAGAATGTTTTGAAAAAAATTATATAACACATATATAATAAGGCCATTGATCATAAATTATTAAAGTATATTTGTTTACCGGTGGCACATAAGGAAATTGAATGATTCGATCCTTTTCTGCAAATGTCTTCGGATCTGTATATTCCTTTAATTCCGAGAAATAATCTTCGGCAGCATACGTATGATTATGTACAAGATGCTGATAACATATAAATGTACAATTATGTAAAAATAAGATTTTCAAATATAAAAAGCTAAAAAATTACTAACTTGTGCTTGGTTAACAGTCATCTTCGTTGGAAATGTTGGATATTTTAATTGCATTAACTTTAACATATAGTCCGTTGATGTCAATCCACCATATGATATCCTATAAAGGAAAATTACTCATAATGTTATTAAGAAAAATGAAACATTGAATTAAAATTCGGGATTAAATAACAGGTCTACTAAATTGCACAATACCTTTTAGTCTGCCCTAACACGCTACGACCAAATACTGGTATAACATGGGTTGTAGTGTGGCCAGATGATATCACAATTCCACCTTCATCGAAGGATAGTTCGTTACAGTGAAAGCTAAAAAGCGCGTCAATACCATAACACACCGACGGTACACGATAACATTCAAATAGCAACTCAGACATCACTATAATAATAATAAAAAAAACAAAAAAAAAACATCAAATTTATTTAGTAACGGTATATAAAAAATCAAATAGGCCTAAGAAACATTGATTACATTTTCGCGAATGGCTTGGATTGCATACAGGCTCGGTCATTAATATCGGGTGATTTACTCTATCGGTATTTATTCCAAGTTTGGTAAACATGTAATCTAAAACAGATTCCTTTCAAGTTTAAAACAGTTATAATTACATAAATACAATAGACAATAAGTTTTATTTTAAATAATAATTATCCTAACTTCTTACCATAGTTTCAAAATTATATACTATATTTCCATCAAACGCCGATTTTGCATTCGTTTTTGCCGTAGCGTCCGTATAAACATCATTGCCGACCAACAAAACGCTTTGATTTAATTTGCGATCTTTATACTTAGACACCAAATTATCAAATTGTACTAAAATCAAAAGTAATCTTTAAATAAAATGTATTTAATAAAAAATCCAACATTTTCGACCTAATTATAATTTGAATCCTCGTACTTACATCTTGGTGAAATATCAGTAGCCCACCCAACACGACACTGATATGATCCTTTAGCAATTAAATGGATAATGAATTTGCTCATTAGCCATTCGTATCAATGCTAATGTTTTTTTTTTTATATTAAAAAGAGCCCGACAATGACAACTGTAAGTTTCACTATCAAAAAGGAACAATACGTTTGTCATAAATCATCGATATACGGCCTATAGATTAATTTTTTGTACAAATCCAAAATTCATTTGGCTAGATTTCTTTATCATTTATAGATTTTTTTAGTCAAGCGTACCGTTATCAATAACTAACGGAGTTCCTTTATTTAAGAAATTGGTTTCATAGTCGGTTGAAGTAAAGTTTGGTGTGTAATTGCGCCTTTCAGCAATATTATAAATTCTTGGTTGGAACGAGGTTTCCATAATCATTTCCTTGAACAAAAATAGAGAAAAGGATCACTAAGTATGTCTGATCCCCAAAATAGCATAGTGGGCTCTGACTGATTGACCAATCAAATAGTGAGATAAATCGCATTACTATAAAAGATCAAAAAAAATTTTTTTTTGATCTTCCTCTCTCTTTGTGGCCTGTTCCTTGAAGGATATTTGAGAATGTCTGAACAAGTCAGTCACTTTTTCACCTTACTTACAAGTAAATGTTTGTTTTATAAGTAAATTGAAATTTTACATCGAAATTCTATAGATCGAAAAGGCTTTTCAGAAACAAGTTGGTATTTTTCAAAATCCAAAAGCCAGCAAAAAGGTCAAAGCCAAAAACCTCCGCTGGTATAAGGATGTAGGTCTAGGCTTTAAGACACCTAAGGAAGCTATTGAAGGTCATTACATAGATAAAAAATGCCCTTGGACTGGTATGGTGTCTATTCGAGGTCGTATATTGACTGGTGTAGTAGTTTCTGTCAAAATGAAAAGAACAATTATTGTTCGCCGTGAATATTTGCACTACATCACAAAATATAATCGTTATGAAAAACGTCACAAAAATCTTGCTGCACATTTATCCCCCGCCTTTGTTGGCGTCTCAGTAAGTGAATTCTAAGCATATATTTTGTACATAACATGAATTTTAATAATTAATTTTTCGAATTCAGCCTGGCGATACTGTTACAGTGGGTCAATGCCGGTAATGATCTTATTGTTAATGTTATATTTCGCCAGTTATTATAATTATATCGATTAATTGAGCCGATGAACACAACTAGTCCTCTTTCCAAGACTGTTCGCTTCAATGTTCTTAAGGTTCTGAAGAAAGTTCAAAAGGGACCAAAACAATTTGCCAAGTATGTAAAAAAAAAAAAAATCTCAAACATTTTCATATTATCTTGTTAAATCAAATATATATATATTTATGTATATAATAGGTTCTAGACTAGGCTACGACCCAAACCTTTTGAATAATGACTATTATGTAGTTTGGCTCTGGAAATCGGGATTTCTACTTAATTTGGGATAGTAACAAACCCAACAATGGTCTCATTTTCGGACAATAATATCAAACACAAAAACTGTTAATCAATGCTATAAATTGTTAAAATTTCATTTTAATTTTCAAATTGAGAACTCAAGAGTATTTTAGCGATTTAGCGATTAAGCAGGATTGTTTAATAAATTGATATGTTAGATCTATAGATATATTGGGAATGCATACAATGAAAAATAATTATAAAAGTGAAATTTTTTTCACATATAAAATAAACTTCTAATCATAATGAACTTTTCGAAAGGAAAAAAAACCTTATTAATAAATAAATTATCCCAGTTTTCCTTTGATAAATGAATTATCCATGTCCATTATCGAGTATAAAATAGTCATTGACACCTATTGAATATGAGAGATGCTATAGCATTAACTTAGTAAAAATTGGAATTATTCTGATAAGTGTTTTGCTAAAGACACTGAATTATTGATAGCATGTTAACGTTAAATTACTAATTAATTTCTGAACATCACGTGGCTGTACACCAGTGTTAGAAATGCAAGCAAGAAATCTGTGCCAGGTTTTGTTAATCATGATTGACAAAATTATCTTTTTTTTTAATGTTAAGGTGAGTACGTGCTAATAGCTGTTTTTACAACTACATAGGCAATCATGGAAAAGTGTACAACTAGTCATTTGTACAACTTTAGTTATTGTCTAATTTAAGTAGATCATCCAAAGGTTCTAAACTAATTGCCATACCTAGAATTTGCTTGTGAGTCTATTATTTAAATACTCTAGTTCTTATATCTATTATCTATCTACTTTACCAACCAGTGTTTAAAATTTCAACTTAAAAGTATATAAATATCGTGCATTGTGTACACTTAATTTATATGAATAATTTTAAAAATTAGTGCATTATAAATTTTATAATATTTTAAACATATTCATACAACTTTAAAATATGTGCACAATAGAATTTATTAATAGGATGTTTTTGATACTAATATTTAGATTTTTGATTTTAATTAAATTAGTAATTGGAATTAATTAATAATTTATATGTATAAAATATTGGTCATACAACAATTAATATTATAAAATTTGTTTATTAAAATAAATAATTAGTTAACATATGCTGCATAGTAGTGTTATAGGTAAAAGTTTTCTTGATTTTCATACTATAATGATGACATGGCACAGAGAATTCCTTATAAGTATATGTGATGTTCAAGAGGGAAGTATAGTTTCTGTTTGATGTTATCAAGAAACTATGTCTTTCTTTAAGACAGTTCAGAAAAGGTAATACAATACTAATAACTTAACTTTATTTTACTAAGAGAAGATAAACCTTGTCTGTGGAAATTACTTTAGAAGAAGAGTATCAGTACAGTTTATAGTCAAAAGTCATTTATTAAAGTAATAACAAGAAAAGCTATTCTTAGATTTTTGTTTTTAAAGAATCTTAAGATATGTTTTTAATATTAAAGAAAAGAAAGATGTCTGTTACTTAATCATACTTGAGGAATTTAGCAGAGTTTATATATCTGTAAACTAAGTGGCTAAGTAGCTAAGCAACTAAGCAATTAAGTGACTGAGTGATTAAGTATTAAGCAACTAAGCAACTAAGTGACTAAGTAACTACTTGATTACTAAACAATCAGAAGGTTCTAGTAACTAATAATTAATGATTACTAAGTGACTAATTACTAAGTGATTAAGCAACTAAGTGATTACTAATCAACTAGAAAGTTCTAGCAACTACTAGTAATAATATTAATAATACAATAATAAAATAACTAATACTAAATAATAATAATAAAATAATAATAACTAATAATAATAATAAAATAATAATAATTCATTCTATAATATTTCTGTTCTCTTTAAAAATTTATTTCTAAATTCTATGTTCTAATCGATTCAATAAGTTGGGTGTACTTATTATTCAGCAACTTGATAATATATATTGCAGTCATATACTTCAATTATAAAATTATTTCTTTTAGTCATAACTCAAAGACTTTATATATTCTAAAAGCATCTTTTTAAATGTTTTTTGTTCTTCTTGTTACTTGAGCATTCTAGATAAGGCTTTTAATCTCTGAAGAATTATTGGACTTAGAGATTATTTGTTCTAAGTAATAGTAAGTTTCAATTTTCTTGTTAAGATTATGTTATTATATTCAAGAGTAAATAAGAACTTTAAGATTCAATTAACTTGTTCTTTCTATGTTTCTTCAGAAAAAAGATTGGTTATACTTTGAGTTGTTGACACTGATGTCTGTTTTAAATTATTTATTATTAAAGTTAGATGATTAGTATTATTACTTCCTAACTTAAAAAGTGTTTTATTAAGTGAAGTTTCAATTGAAGAAGATTGTATTTCTTCTAATTGTAGAAATTCATCGATAATGAATTCTACAGAGGCTTCTATTATAGAGTTCAAGTCAATAACATTTTCTAGTTCTTTATTACTTCAAAAAATAATATTTTGAGATGATATATCTAAGTAATTTTGAGATGCAAGGTCCTGTTTTTAGATTTGAAGAAAGTTGTTTAAAGTGATTACTGTTTCTGGTTATAGTTTTAAGAATTTTATTTTTAGAAAAATTTGTATAATTTAAGGATATTTATATAAATTTCCAAGTATTACAATCTTTGAATAAATTATAATATTAAAAAATTTATGTAATATTATTATTTTTTCTCTGATTTTAGAAATTTCTTCCAGAAATTCTAGTTATTCAATAAAAACAAAAGGTTTTTATGTTTGTTTTTTATGATATTTAGCAAGACAATTACTATTATAGTACTTTTGCAATGTTTTTCCTTTGTCATTATAAAGTTTATAGGCATTATTGTTTAATTTTTCTTAAATAATAAAGGGACCAGTTCTTTTATCTTCGAATTTAGCTAATCGAAAATGTTTTATATCTTTTCTAATTATTTATACTGTTACAAAGTAGATTTTAGCATAATATATTATAAATAATATTAGTAGTTATATATATTTTTTATTGTATTTTATATCTTATATTTATTATTATTAGTTATTAGTTATTAGTTAGTCAATAGTTATATTATATAGCAGATAGATAAAAAGGATCTTAATTGGCTATTAGCAATGTGGTACAGCTACATGACACTGAGTAACATCTGTGATGTTACTATCGTCTTACAAACCTCAAGTATCTCTATACAAGTTTCATGTATCTTAGCACCAAATTACTGTACCAAGTGTCGCAGCACAAGAATCCCAAGTATCTCTGACATGAACCTCAAGTGTTCGCACACGAACTTCAAGTATCTCTGCACAAATCTCAAGTGCCTTTGCACAGATCCAAGTGCCTAAACACAAGCCTCAAGTGTTTCAAACACAAATGATAAATAATATAAACAATATCTCCAGTTGTCTCTGCACAGTTCCCACTACTCTAAGCACAGTATTATTTAATGTTGTTCGAACCTCTACTATCTCAACTACAATAATATCTAATATTGTTCGAACCCTCATTATTACAAATACAGTATCAAGTAATGTTGCTTGAATCTCCACTATCCTCGCTAGGTAAAAAGATATATAAAAAGTAGCTTTTACCCTTTTCTGCCAATTTTAAGTTTCTATACTTCAACCTAGACCCTTCTATCTTTACCCCTAACTTGTAAAAATAATATTCCTCTTTTAGAGTAATTCCTACAAGCAAGGTTGTCACTGTGTGTTTATTTAATAAAAGTTAATCTATATACTGTTACTATTTCAAACTCTTTGCCTGCTACTGTGTAGTAAAGTGAACTATTACATCTCTACTCCGTATATATTTGTAATAGTCAATCACTGTACCAGGTGACCTTGTTACTTGGTTGTATTATACCAAGAAGGTTACAACTCTGTAATAATACTTTGTTACCAATTTCGAATGTTTTATAATAAATCTTGGCATCAAAGTATTCTCTCTGTTTCTGTTGTGATTCATTGGTTTTTTTTCTTATATTGTTCTGCAATTTAGGTAACTTGTCAATAAGCTCAAATGCTCAGTGCAGTATGCTATCTTGTAAATCATACTCTGTTTCTTCATAGAGTTTGACAGATAATAAAACTTTAATTAAAAGAACAACTTGTTATCTATATACAAACTAAAAGGAAGTATATTCAGTTGTAGCATGCTTTTTTGTTCGATAAGCAAGCAGTATAGCAGATAAATGTAAGTCCCAGTTATCATCTTCTTTTACTTTAATAAGTGATTTATATAAGGTTCGATTAAAATGTTCAATCATTCTATTTGTCTGTAAGTGGTATAGTAAAGAAAACTTGTGTTTGATAAGAAACTTTTTTTATAGAATGCGAACAGTTTCACTAATAAAATTTCTTCCTTGATTAGGGAAAATAATCTTTGGTATTTCATGTTAACAAATAATTTCTTTAAAAATAAACTAAGCTAAGGTATTTGCTCTGACATCAGGTACAGTACAGGCTTCTGATCATCTTGTTAAATAGTCAGTAGCAACAATAATATATTGATTGTTTTACTTTGTAATTGGTAGGAGTTCTACTAAGTCAATTTTAATTCGTTTGAAGGCTCATCCTATTTGAATAGAATAAAGAGGTTCAGTTCATTTGCCTTTTAATCTCTTTTGGCATTCTTTATATGTTCTAACATATTTTTGTACATCTTGATACATTTGGTTCTAATAATATTGTTTAGCTATTTTATAATACATAGCATCTGTTTCTAAGTGTTCTGCAGTAGAATACTTATGCATTATATACAAACTAGATTCTACTTTATTCTATTCGATAAAATAAAGAAAGTACTGAGAGTTCTTTTTGTTTTTCTTGTATAATAGTCCTTTCTTGA